GTTTAGTTTGGTAACGCAGAACATGCACACATACATCGACAAACCTTTCCGGCTCCATACTTGTCTGTCAGGCCACACTTTGACGACCTGGTGAATCTGAGGGTACAGCGGTACCATGCTGTCGCCAAAAACAGTTCTGTAGTTTCTCCACTTGACGGCATTATTGCATAGCAAACACGTTTTGGTCGCCAAAACCTCTGTACTCCCGAGCATATTCCCCGCCATATTGAATCTGTATGGTGGTGGGCGGAGAAAATTGAAACATGGGCGCTGATTGGTTAGAAATGGGGTCATGCCAAATAAGGCAAGCTCATGAATATTAATATTCCTCGGGTCGTAGAGTAGAAGATGCCATGTAATCAGGCAGGGGTAGGGGTGGAGAAGGAATTCGGAGCCGCTGCCCCTGCCATGGGAGGATGAAGAAAAATTAAGCAACCTACAATTTTGCATAGGGTTCAATGGTGTCGGTATGATATTGTTTAGGAGCTTTTGTGCTTACTACTGACTTAATAATTAATATAGTAATTATGCATGTATTTGTCAAATTGCATGTTTAATGTTTGCTAAAATGCTCTTTTGTATGGGTGTGATTCAGGGCATAAAAGTGTGCATTTGCAGACAATAGATTTAAATTACAGAACAACATTGTGACATTCTGCAAAATTGTAAAACATTGAAAAAAAAATTTCTACCACTTCAGGTCTACACCTACCTTCTGGGTCTTCTCATCTGCGGCGCTACCCTGAAGTTTGTCCGGATTCTCCGCTTCAACTCTCACGTGTACGCCTTGTCTATGACCATGAGGCGATCCCTCAAACCTGTAGCGCTGTTCATGCTCACGGCCGGAATCCTCATCATGGCTTTTACACAGATGGCGAATCTGATTTTCGGTGTGAAGCTTGCGGGGTACAGGAACATAACTTCCAGCCTGCAGAGCCTTCTGTTTATGATGTTGGGAAGTTTTGACTTCAGGGCATTGGAACAGGGACATAACCTTTTAGGACCACTGATGTTTTTCACATACCAGTGCATGATGCAGTTTTTCTTGCTCAGTATGTTCATGGCTATCATTTTGGATGTGTACGCAGAAGAGACACAATCCACAAACACAGAGGAGCTGAACTTAAACACTTTCGTGAAAGAATCTGCATTAAGAACATTGAAGAAAGTTCAGGACAGAAATTCTCATAATATCGACGTGAAAAGGAACATATCGAGCAAAGAAGACAAGGGAATATTGGCGGATATGCTTGTGAAAATAGACCGCATGGTTGACAATCTAGAAAATGGTGTTTATGACTAGCTTTACATGCTTATAAGTTTTATTTTAATTATTACAGAGATATGGGTATGAAGACAAAGCCCCCCTGTGATTGTACTAAGAAGTTGTTCTTTAGAGAAAGATGGCGTCACTATTCTCTTTTAGGAAAAAGCCATTAACCCCTGGATGCATCAGTTTAGATTATATTGATTTTATCAAATGCACAAATGTCAGATGAAAAGCATTCTGTGTTGATTGTAATGTATTTTATGTGTTGTAATTAAAATATTAAATATACGTATAACATGATTACATAACTACATATGACATGTGGTGGCTATTTAAGTAACGACATCTTAAGTCACTATAAAACATCGTAACGTCGAAGCAACACATTTAAATGGCTGTGAGTAGGAATAACTGGCGATGTCCTTGGTGCTGGAATGTGGATCCATAATGAGTCTTGACGTGGGGCGTACACAAGGCCCGTCCGACTCAAGCTACGCAATTGCAGGGGGACAAAGATTACTGTGGGTGGGGTTATATCCTGGGTATTACCATGTCATTGTTAAAGTATCAAATGACTGTCGATGTTCCTCTGGACCTCAATTACACATAAGTTTGATTAGTCCTATCACGGAACGCAGCAGCAGGTTTAAATTAGATCCTGATTTGCATTATTGTCATATCATGTATGCCATACATAACATAAACAACCTACATATCACTGTAATCTTTAGTTATCCTCCCAAGGTTTAAAACCGTGAAAAAACCCTGAAGGTCCTGCAATTTGTAACAT